AACAAGCTGGACACTCATTTTAGCAACATTGGAAGGATGCAAGCCTGAGTTGAGCCTGAGCCCTGGCTGATACTGAACTCACAAGCTTATGGTTTGTGAGTGAGTGGTTGCAGTACAGGCATTTAACCACTGCACCAACAGGGTTCCTAAAGGCTGCATAACATCTCATGGTGAGAGACTCTGTAACATGTCTTCAAACATGGGACAGATTGAGAGAGAGAGAGAGAGAGAAAGAAAGAAAGAAAACTTCAGATTAGAAAATGGAAGATGAATAAAATCAAACTAACTGATTCAAGCATAAGGTGAGAGGGTGAAGCTAAGACCTAGAAATAAGAAATGACATGAATACATGAACTCTTAGAGAAACATGCCAATTAATAAACAACCAAGTACAGGGATGCTAAGGTCACTGCCTCTAGCATGAAGCACCCCCATCCTGCTGCCACTTCCATGTGTCTAGATATTGCCATTTTGGCTATATAAGCAATACCACTCACAATCTGACTGTCAAAAACAGAGGAAATGGCTAGAATTCTTCAGGTTTCTCTGCTGTCATCTCAGTTTCTAGAAGGAAAATACAAGGCAGATGCATCTGAATTCTGGTGCACATGCATGTGCATAGAAACAGAAGGGCAGTATGCAGCTTTCCATCCATTCTCCTACCCCATAACTAGTCTAAACAGACAGGAAATATTACTGAATATGTCTGGGATGCAGCTGTTCCCTAATCAGCACATTAAGGCATAAAGATGCTTTTTTAAAGCATTCGAATGTTTAAACTATTCAATCAATAGCAAGGAGAACCTTGAACAGATGGGGAAGGACTCGTGAAGTGAGTTATGGGGGTGGGAATCTAGAAGTGTGGGCTATTAGATCTTTCTGTTGAGTATTATTAGTGGCATCAACATGTCTGGCACTGTACGAAACAGATGAAGGAAAATTAAAGCAGGAGACAGGACCTTCAGGGGAATGTACTCCCAAGTGAAATGTGTATGGCCCTATCAGTACAGGTTTCTAAATAGGCTTTGAAAACTTGTATTTTGGGTTTCCCTCTGTTTGCTAGCAGCTCGTGGTATTGGTGATGGAATACTTCCCTCTATTTTGGCTTGAGTTGCTACCTTAGCTTGGACCACAAGCTGTCCTGTCTTGAACCACAAGCTATCCCTTAAGTGATTTATAGTGCTGTTCCTTCACAGTTTTAGGTAATTAACCATGTAAATACTTTTGCTCTAAATAAGGGTGGGCAACTGTTTGACTCAGGCACAGATGTAGGTCTTCTGTGAAAGTCTGCAGATAAAAGAAGCAGCAGGAAAAGTAATAGGAACAATAAAGGAAACAAGAGAGGAATATGAGCAGTTAAGGTGAATATGGTCATCATTTTTCTACCTCTGGATAAACAACTCTTTCCTTCACAACCAAGGTTTGTTAGGATTTGCTATCAGCTAGTTTTCAGACACCATGACAGATGTAGGTCATCTGTGAAAATGCACAGATAAAATAGCAGAGATATGCTGGCCAAATAAAATATATATGACTTTCTGCCATCTATCTATTCATCTACATGTCTATCAGATCTTCTATTCTGTTGTCTCTGTCCATCTGTCTACTGTGCCTGTTTAGCTCTGTGCTTCAGGGAAGTAAGATACTGAGAATAATAGGGAGGGGACATGAGATATTTCTCAAGTAAGAAAAGATCAACATAGGCTATGTGGACTCATGGGGTAAAAGTGTTGACAAACCCCATTTACTTCTTGGCAAAGAGGTAGACTTTGAAGAGACCATCTTGCCATCCACATTTATGTGCATCCTTGTTTAAATAAGCTGGGAAACTGCTACGGTGCCTTAAATCAACCCAATCAACTTGCATCTTAAACCGCAAAGAGACCTAATGATATCACTTGCATGCATCAGACGTTGAAGCCTGGAAATTGGTTTAAAATTATGTACTACTCATGACCTGTCTGCTTCCTTGTTTTCTGTGGGTGAAGATGTATGCTTTTAAAAATCCTCAGTGTGCCTTCAACTCACTGGAAAAGAAGAGAAATATTTTAAAATCTCCATAAACATTATTGCGAGAAAAGAAAAGAAAAGAAAGATTTTGCAGCACTGCTACACTATCAGTGGAGGACAGAACAGGGTGCTTATTATGACAATGCTGTGATCACTTGGGTGACTCACTACTTTGAAGGTGACTCAGCAGCTCATATCACTTGATAATATGCACTGAGGAGCCAATGCCACTACAGTGAAACCAGAGCTTGGAAAAGTTCCATTTGTAGATTACAAGACCCAGAATCCTCTATACCAGCTGAAATATTCCGGGAGATGTACAGTCACCCCTCTATTTTTGTGGGGGATCTCTTCCAGACACCTCCCCCCACAAAAATGGAAAACCGCAAATATTCAAGCCCCATAGGCTTGAATGGGGGGGTGTATCTGCAGGCATGCCTAGCAGAGGGGCGGGATATAAATAAAAATTATTATTATTATTATTATTATTATTATTATTATTATTATTATGTGCCCCATTTTATCCCCTCCATTTGCCACCCACAGGCAAGGGACACAGACTTCAAGTCCGTGAAAACAGAGGAGCAGCTGTAGTCTAAAAATGTAACTTTTCCAAACACTGGAGACAGGTCCTCACATTTCCACAATTGATGGGAAGAGACTATAATTCCCTGCCAACCCTATTTTCATTCTTATTAGCATATCCTGTGAAGTAGAGATCATGTCTCTGCTAGAGTCGGAACAATATTTTGAACAATTTTTGAAGGAAACTTGCAAACATTGCAGCATTTGAATTTTTAAAAATTGTTTTAATTTTTGTTTAAAAATTAGGGTTGGCATTCTATATTGCAGTTATGGAGTCATAACCTCCTCTGCATTCAGTAAGACAAGGGTCCAAGCACACTGCAGAAATAATCCAGTTTGAGACCGCTTTAAGTAACCTGACTCAATGCTAGGGAATTCTGGGAACTGTAGTTTTGTGAGACATTTAGCCTTCTGTCACAGAACTCTGGTGCCAAAATAAACTATATTTGCCAGCATTCTCTAGCACTGAACCAGGGTAGTTAAAGCACTCCAAGATCTTGAGGTGCTCCATGGAACCCCACTGACCTTTGAGGACTTCATTTGCTGTATCCTCCCTCAAACTAATTGTGAACTTTTTTGCCTTCAAATGTCACCCAATAACCACTAGAAGCATGTGGTAGTGTTTTGTCACATTTTAGGCCTTCTCTGGACCATCTGGATGACTTCCCTGTTTGAAAAAACCACTCCTGGGCCTCAAATGTGATGGAATACCCCCCACATCCTCTAGGGTCATCTGGGGCCAAAAATATAGAAAATCTTTTAAAAAAAAATATGGGTGCCAAAGGGCCACATATGATCCATGAGCAGTACTTTTCTCATCCCTTCTCTAGAATGTATCTACTCCCAATATGAAGTTATGCATGCTATGGAAAAAGTGGATAGGGAGTGGATTTTCTCCTTCTCTCATCATACTACGACCTGAATGAAATATTTCTTCATGCAACACACAGATTTGCTAAGAGTTCATGTGGTGATGGCTGTCAAATTGGATGGCTTTTAAAAGAGAATGAAAAAGATCATTGTGGAAGATAAAGCTAAGAATAATCACTAGTCAAGATGGCTTTCTCCAGTTTCGGAGACAGCATGCTTATGAATTTCAGTTGCTAAAAAACAGAAGTAACAGGGTGCTATTGCATTCATATCCTTCTTGTGAACTTCTGGTAGGAATCTGGTTGGCTAATATGGGAACAAAATGCTGGAGTAACTGGTCTTTCATCTGATCCAGCATGGCTTCTCTTATGTTCTTTGGTCTACCTGCAATTGTTAGTTGCAGATTCAGTGGGGCCATTGAATATATCTGATATACATAAGTGTTGGCTTTCTGTTCAGCAAATGATTCAGTCGGCGTACTGTAGTGGAAGCTAGCAAGTGGATTCAGGACTGAATTCTTACTAGATTTTCAAACTATGCATACATTTTTCCAGGTTAACAACATTGCCTGTGACAATGAGGACCTTGGAGATGAATGTTCAGAGGTGCATGACTCCACTAATGCATTGTGAAAATGAAGTGGGATGGTCTAAATAGAATACAGGTGTTTATCCAGAGAGGTGTCAAAGTTATTTAATGTTAGATAACATACTTCCCAGTGTAAATTGACAGTGTCACGGGGCAAAGGAAGATTCATCTTTTATTTAGAATCCAGATAGAACAAGGAGGCTCTCCACTTTTCAGATGAAGTCATTTTGGGCTTAGTAGTCAAAGCATGTTTCTAGCATCAGATACCTCTCCCAAAACAGCCAAGCGTGACTTTGGTTGCTTATGAATATCAACCACTTTATAGGGGGCCTGTGAAGACAATTTCATTAGCATATGGCAGTTTTGATTTCCTTTTGGAAAGAGTATCAGAACAAACTTCATCTATAAACCCGGGATGCATAAATACATCCAGCAACATACCCAGCAACTTGCCTCTCAACATTACAGCTCCATAGTTACATTTTGAAAGCTGGTGGCTGGACAAAAAATGAGATTCTCTCTGTGAGTAACAACAACAGTGGTATCAAAAAGGGAAAGAGTGCACAGTAAAACCCTTGGAGAGAGGCAGGATATATATTAAATAAAGAATCAAATGATCCAAGGACCAAATGAATGAATGATACAGCAGAATAACACAGTCATCATGGCCCCTTGTGGAAGCTGTAGTCTAAACAATCACTCTTCCAAACTCTATCTCACCTGGCATCCTTGGGCAAGTACCAGAAGATGGATTCAATTGCTGGCTAGGAATATAATTCTTGGTTAATTTTGTTCTCAAAGGAAGCAACAAGTAACTTTAAACATTTTCTCTCCAATGCAGTTTGGGACTTGTTGCACATAAGATTCATATGAGCTATTTTTTTCCAGCCAATGCAGTTTGGGACTTATTCTACATAAGATTCATATGAGCTATTTTTTTCCAGCCAGCCAATGTGGTGGAATGGTTAAAGCACTGGACTATGACTCCGGAACTGGGGTTTGAATCCACATTCGGCCATGGAAATCCACTGGGTAACCTTGGGCAAGTCTCACTCTTTCAGCTTCAAAGACAACCCTCTCCCTCCCCCCGAACAAACCTCATCATGAAAACTCCATGATAGGTTCACCTTAGGGTAGCCACAAGTCAAAAACAACTTGAAGGAACACAACATTTTTTTGTACAGAAAACAGCAATTTCTTCACCAGAAAAGTCTGTATAGAAATATTATTTTCTGTGCAGAAAATGCTATTTCTTGTGCTGAAAATTCTGTAGTGGTGCAGACTTATTCTGCATGAAAATAACATATGATTCCCCCCCCCACAGAAAACAATAATATTTTTCTGCATAGAAAATGCAGTTGTTGCATAAAATAAACATGTGGATTTTACTCAGAGTAAGTCCTGAACTGCAAAATTTCTCATCAGTCCAGGATGCTTCTCTCGTCAGGATTTCTCAAAACTTGTAAAACACACATTTTCGAATATGCTTTCTATCCTTGTTGCTGGTTATGAATCCTGGTGGGACCCATTCCTCATACTGGCACAGGTCATGATCACCTCCCTCTTCCCCAAATGTAGTGTTGACAAATACTCCATCATCATTTGAATAAAAAGCATGGTGGGTGCTGCCATGTTTTTATGGCAGCCTCCATCTGTATGTTTTTATCACGAGTGTCTCATGCAATGCAACAAAAATGTTTCTTTTGCAGAAAACTAAGATGGCTGCTTGCAGCTGGTGGGTTGCACAATCCTGGATCTGTCCATTTTCTATATCATTCCCCCCTAGTTATCCACCAGATAATTGTGATGGTTGTATGGTCCCTTTCACAAACATAATACTTTTCCTTCTGAACACATAGGCCAGACCGTGCTCTCAGCCAGAACTAGCTGTCGTTGCTGGCTTTTCCAAGACTCAGGCTGCTGCCACACTGCAAAATTAATGCAGTTTGGCACTGCTTTAACTTCCATGGTGCCAGTCTATGGAATCATGGGGTTTGTAGTTTGCTGTAGCACCAGAGCAATCTGACAGAGATGGCAGTTAAATCAGTGTCAAACTGCATTATTTCTGCAGTGTGAATACACCCTTAGTGTAAAAACAACAACTGCAAAGCAGTTGTACCAGGGAGGGAGGGGGAGAAGCAAAGAGAACAGGAATAAATATTCATACATCTGACAGGTCAACAACCTAGAAAAAAAATAAAAGGATGGGTGAAACAGGTTAGAGATTTTTAGAAACTCCTTCACATATTGCTCTCCTGGACACAGAAAGGTTCTGGCTCTCACCTCTTATTTTAGGATTGGCACACTGTTATTACTTGAAAATGTGGCTTTTTCCACCTCCAACATAATATATAGTTTCAAACATTACCAGGCAATTTCAGGTAATTTCAATTGTATCACCAAGAGATTATAGTTGTTCTTCAGATGTTGAACTTTTGGCCACACATTGATTTTTTTAAAAGAGCAGAACTTCACTTGTGTTACATATCTGGCTGCACTGTCTTGAGATTAAGTTTTCTGTAAGGCTTCTCACTACCTGCAGCCTAACACATTCAAGATTTTTAAATGAAAATAAAAAGAAAGGCAGCTATTAAGAGAAAGCATATTTTTTGTAAATGTGTTCATTGGTGATATGCAAATTTATGAAGATAAAATGTGCACAGTATGGAAATGAAGGACCCTGTATTATAGAATTCTGGCTTCTGAAAGCCTACCTAGATGACACCTTTGGTTTGCTAATGAATCTCCTCTTTTGTTCCTCTGTTTTGCCAAGCATGCCACTTTGCAAATTCGTGTGTGTGCTGCTGTCATGCTAAAGCTACACTAAAGGAGAAACATGGAAAGAAAGTCTAGTTGGCAACTATATCTTTAAAAAAAAAACAGAGGCTGTATTTTAAATTAAATGAAGGCAGGAAAAAGATCATCAGTCTGAAACAGTAGCAGATGGTGTCTTCTGTGGTAGCGGGGCAGTGTATCCACTCTGGGTTTCCTTCCAGACTTTAGAGAAACTTCCCAAGATGGTAAATAGGTTCAGCATTTTTGGATAGTTCCTTTTAAATTTGGACTAAGGGCCTTTGCAGATGGCACAAAGCGCCATCTTGGAGGCAAGGAAGGGGAGGGGCAGCCTCACGCTGGACACCCCAACCCCTCCTTGAGGACATCATTGGAGCACCCACCATTCCACATGGCAGACGCTCCGATGACGTCCTTCTGGCTCAGTGTCCAGACACGCTGAGCCAGAAGAGACACTGAAGAGGCACGAGCCGCCTCTTCCGGTGCCCTTTCTGTGCTTTGCAGAAGGAGTGCTATTTTAGTGCTCCTTCCAGGGCCGGAAGAGGAGTGGATTTGGGCTGAGGCATGGGGCAGCCTCGGTCCCAATCCGCGGTTTCTCGGGGTGGCCCACAGCCACCCATCTGCAGAGGCCCTAAGACTTTGAGCAGATTCACCATCCTGTAAGCATGGAAGCCACCAGCCACCACTAATATCTCCTTTGGTCCTTGAATCTCTCTTCTCTTAGCAGAGACATAAGCACTGATAGAAACTAACTGAAATCAATTTAGTTAGAAATTAAGTTAGAACTTTGCTAACAAAAAGGGGCAACATAATTAAAGTTCTTGCCAGCAAAGGCAATTCATTTAAGTTGGAAATTCAGTATATTTCTCTAAATTAGGTTATTAAATATGTTATTATATGTAGCACAGTGCTAAACAGCCAATAGATTTTGCATTATTAAATTGCTTCTTTGCCCTAAGCCTTGTTCTCTTGTGTTTTTCCACAACTACTTTTTACTTTTGGTTATTTGTGTATTGAATTAATTAATATTAAAACATATATACCCTTCTATATATCCCAGGATCTCAGGGCAGCTTGCCATAAAACGAATCTGAAATGTCTGAACGCAATTTAAAACAGTAAGAATAAACTGAAGGCTAAAAATATATTGCACCATCTGACAAAACAAGATAGAAGTGTCAAAAACACTTAAAAGAATTTAAAATTACTCATGTGCAAATATGTTAGTTTCTTAGACCTGGGAAACTGCAAGGTTTCAATCAGAAGACTCAGACTATATCTGCACTACAGAAATAATCCAGTTTGCCAGCACTTAACTCTAGTACTCAGAGGAATAGACTAACAAGTGAGCACACTGCTAAGCTTGTTAGCATTTCACAAAATCTCTTGCTTCTCAATCAGTCACTGGTATAAGTTATCAAAACAAAACGTGTTGTTGTCTGTGTCCACAGGTTCACATATAAAAATTAGTGTAACAAAATGTTCAACTAGTTGGACTGCACCAGTCTCTCTCCCAACTTAAAATTAATAAGTAGAGCAGAGTGAAACTGAAGTTACTACATCTATGCCTCAGCAAGAGAAAGTTGAAGTGTTCATGCAAGGTACACCAAGTAGTTATTTTTTTGGGGGGGGGGTATGTGACCTTAAAAATAGTGTTCTTTCAGATGTAGTCGATTTTTGTTAAGTATAAGGGAAATCTATGATATTCTCCTTACATGATTACAGTTATATCAATAAAATAATTTCTGCATAAAATCTTGAATGTGGACCTTATCCCACGCTGCTCTCAAAAGTGGCAAGAAAGCGATA